ACTTAAAAGTATATCTATATAATGTATATTATATATACAGTAGATCCCCTTTACCCATGGTTTCACTTTCAGTGGTTTTAGTTACCTGCAGCCAACTGCAGTCCAAATAGATTAAATGAAAAGTTCCAGAAATAAGCAATTCATGAGTTTTAAATCACACAGCATTCTGAGCAGCGTGATGAAATTTTGAGCTGTCCCGCTAGGGATGTGAATCACCCCCTTATCCAGCACATCCACACTGTATATGCTACTCAGCTGTTAGTCACTCAGTAGCTGTCTGTTATCAGATTGGTTATCAGAGAGAAAGTGAGAGCGAGCGCGACTGAGGGGGAGAGAGAGAGCACACACAGTCACGTAATTTTTATTACAGCATACTGTTATACCTTTTCTATTTTATTATTACTGTTGTTAATCTCCTACTATGCCTATTTCACAAATTAAACTTTATTATAGGAATGTACATATAGGAAAAACAGCACATACAGGGTTCAGTACTGTCTGCATTTTCAGGTGGCCACTGGGGGTCTTGGAACACAGCTAAGAGGGAACTACTGTATATGTGTGTGAACATATGCATATAAATATATATATGGCAGGGAGAACAGTTAGTGGGGAAGCCTATCATGAGACCACCTGAGAAGTGCAGGAATGCCAGGGAGGGTAGCGAGGCCGGGAAGAGAGGCTGCATAGGCAGAATGGAAGAGAAAAAGGCTAGGGTGGTACCTCTCTCTACCTCAGAGCAATGAATGGGTTAAAAGGTAATTCTCTCTCAGACCTTCTTCACCGCAAACCCATTCTGTTCCTTTACCAACTCCCTTGAGCAGCTTACCGCCTTATCTTTAAAATGGGGATAATCATACTGACAGGGAAGGTTTGCCCTGGGGGTTTACCGGGTAGTATGGGATCGGTCAGCACCCTCCCTCACTCCTCGCCTTTCAGATTAACTCTTGCTGTCTACATCTACTTCCTAAGAGGTGAGCTAGGCTGAGCCTCCTCCCAGGAACTGGAGTTTCTTGGCATGTATCAGAAGGCCCAAGAATCTTCAGGATTTGGAAAAACACTCCCCAGCTGGCACTGTTTGTTTTGGCCAAGACCCCTGCTTTTGCTGACCCCACCCACCCCTCCGTGTCAGTGTAAAGAGGCCTCCTGCCCAGGAGCCCCGATATCAGAAGCAGATAAGTGATACAGCCCAAGTTCTCCCAGAAATACAAGGTCCTTTGGAAAATCAAACTCAAAGAGAGATAAAACTTCACATCCGAGGGTGTGAAATTTTCCTTCCTAATACGCACTGAATCACTCAAAGAACGACCCCCTCCCCACTTTTACCTGTGCCCCCCCAAAGACAGAATAAAGTTTCACGGAAGCCGTATCTTTCTTCGCCCTCACAAGCCAGATGGGCAGGCGTCCTGCTTTTCATTTTGTGTACAGGGAGAGGGAAGCCTAGGAAGGAGGCTGCCCAAAGTCTTTTGGCAAAGCCGGAGACGAACCCCAGGTTATAAACCAGGTCTCCTGGCTCTCCGGTCCTCATTCAGCTTCCTCTGTCTCTCTTTAGGACATTGTCAGCACCAGGAACAAACAAACACACAATTGATTACAAATAAGTACCTGGACCCCCTTTGTCATTTGTATTTTGCAAGTCTGATTTTCTCTGTGTGTCTGTGTTTTCAGCACATGACATGTCAGAGTCATGGGGACAGCACTCTTTAGCCTGATCCTTGTCCCTTTTGCCTAAATCACACTTTGTCTCACCTTCTTTCCTTTTCTTTTTTGTCTTAATTACTTGGTTACCCCAGTTTGAGTCTACCTTTTGGAGAGACAGGATTCAAGATTTTCAGTATCTTCTCCAGGTCTATGTATTTGATAGGTTCTTCATAAATCCTAGTGGATGTGGCAATGGAGGGAAGGCAGGCCTTACAGTGTGCGGTGGTGGGTAAGAACCGGGCCTGCGGAGTTACACTGCCCTGATACAGCCCACTCTGATGTTTAGCTGCTGCCTAGGACCCAGCTACCCATCTTCCTTTCCTTTCTGAACTTTATAATTGTCTGTAACTGAAGATAATTACACCTGTGGGGCCTAGCCTAGTGCCTGGCACATAGTAGGAACTCAATAAATACTTGTGGAAAGAATACCTATCTCACTGGGTTAATTGTGAGGCTGAAGGAGATAATGAATGTCAAGTATTTCTCATAGAACCTGGCATATATTAACTACTCAATAAAAGCTACTCTTAACTACTGGATCATTATTAGTGTTAAAACTAAACACATGGGGGTAGAATGCTGTGTGGGTTAGGAATAAAAAAAGAAAGAAAAAAACAAAACACCCTGAATTCAAATCCCAAACCCATTATGCAGAACAAGCTACTGGATTTAGGATCAGTGTATTCAGGTGTGAGACCTGGCTCTGCCACAGATTACCTATGTGACCTGGGATAAGTAACTCTCCTTCTCTCGACGTCAGTGTCCTCATCAGCAAAATGAGGAGACTGAGTAATCATTCAGATTCTTTTTTTTTCTAAATCTAACAGCCTCACTGTTAGATGTAATTTCACGCCGTTCTCATCTTCTCTGGCCTCAGTTTGCCCATCTGTAAAATGACACACAGGTGTCGAGAAGCCCCTTTCTGGGGCAGGGCAGGCCCAGGGTGTGCAGATCCCAGCGCCCCTCCAGCCTCCTCACAGCAGGTCCTGGCCGTGGTTGTTTAGCTCAGACTGGGTGCTGAGTGTGTGACCTGGGTTACTTGTCCACACAGAGTCGTACTCAGAGTCCCCTTCTGAGTTGTACAGGGGCACCTTTCCCCTCTACCTCCAATGACAGAAATATTGAAAAGAATGACCAACAATGACTACCATGTCTGCTATTAACAAAGGTGACAGAGGGCCTAGTGCAGGGACGTCAAACTCATTTTCACTGGGGGCCACATTAGCCTCGCGGTTGCCTTCAAAGGGAAAGGCCGAATGTAATTTTAGGATTGTATACATGTAACTACTCTTTAACTAGGGGCAAGGAGCTTAGGCGGAAACAAGGGAGAAACAAGGTGCCAGGAAGGATAAAACAAGGTGGAGGGCCGGATTCGGCCTGCAGGCCTTGTGTTTGCCACCGGTGGCCTACTGTGAATAACCCTCTTCAGGAATGACTTATTAATAAATACAGTAAAAAATAATGCATTCCAGTGGCAATGTGCAACAATTTACCTTCTGATTAAGGGTATATATAACACAATTATGAAAAATCCTGCTTAAATTCACTGAGATCCTTTTAATCATTACTTTCTTTAGTTCCTCTTTTGAAGCATTGACCTCAGTCTCTATAATTTGCACAGCTCTTTGGCTTACATTGTCTTACTTGACTCCTCACAAAAAGCTCAGGGAGTAGAAGCAAGTCAAGCATTATTTACCCCAATTTTCCCACCAGCAAATGGGGCCCAAGGGCATGTGCAGAGCTGGCCATGGTGCAGAGTTCAAGTTACGGAAGAGATGGGATTAGACATCAGAGAGCCTGGCTATCCCCACCAGCACCTCTCCCAGGTAGCCCTGGTTCCAACGGCCCTACAGCCACCCTTGTCCTGAGGGGAAGTTCCAGCAGGGTTTTCAGCCAGCCTTCTCCTCCATCCAGCAGGCTGTGGGTGCTGATTGTCTTGGAGATGGCCAACATTTCCAGGCTGTTCTGTCTTGAGCAGGTGGGATCACAGACTAAGTTAGAGGCAAGGACTTCTCCAAGTGAAGTGTGTGGGACCACCTGGTGGCTAAACGCCCAAGGAGTCTTGTTAGACATGCTTTGGAATCTGTGCTCAAAGTTTTCCCTCATCATCCAAACCAAAGTAGCTGATCTAGACTAACATATTACTATAGTCAGTACCGTTTTCATAGATACTAGACAAGAACTTGTTTATCACATTATTTAATTGTCTCTTTCTCCACCTCAGAATGTAAATTCCATGAGGATAGGGACTTTGTTAGCCTGGTTTATTGCCAAACCCCGGTTTCCTAGAACCCAAAGGCCCCCACAGTACGAGGTCAGTAAATATTTATCGAATTGAATGTGCAGTAAAGTTTGAAAACACTGTGGTCATACACCACTCCTTCGTTTTACACTAGGGAAACTGAGGCCCACTGCGTTAGTGACTGCTGCTGAGGTGATAACGGGCAGCACCAGGGCCAGAATAAAATCTCAGACCTCCGGAGTCTCAGTCAGGGGTTGGTTCAACTCCGCCCAAAACAATTCTGTTGAAAAAACGAAATCCACTTGAAAGAAAAGACATTTCCTGCCCATAAATACCCAGTTTCAGGGGTTTGGCCGGGTTGGGGGCTGGTAATTCCGTTCCCTCTTCCTAGGCGCCCCCTGCTTCCAAGGGTTAAGGACCCGCCTTCCGGAATGGGCGTCAAACACACCTCCCGGCAGTGTCCCCAGGGTTGGCGGGGAGGAGCTGAGCACAGCTCGCGGAGGTGAGGGCGGTTCGCCCAAGGTCACCGGAGCGGGGCCTGGAGGGGCCAAACCCGTGGGGTGCCAGGGGATGGGGCGACCTCGGCGCGTCTTCGGGGTAGATGGGCACCCCCTCCATCATCCTGTAAGTCGAAGATGACATTAATGGTTCCTTTCCCCGAACCTGGTGCACTCAACCTGGAGAGCACGAGCAGGCCCGGCCAGCCGCGTGGCTCGCTCCCATGTGCTCCACCTGCGGCCGCTCTCAAGTGTTGGCCCTTTAAGACACCTCCCCCTTTTCACCCCGCCCCCCCCGTATCTTCACCCTCCCTCCTTCCCCCCCCGCCCCGCCGAATTGCATCAGGCACGTGCTCGCCCCCGTCGGATCTGAGCACCCCTCACCCCCTAGTCTGGGAGGTGCTCAGAGGAATCGGAGGCGAGGGGCGGGGCGAGAGGCGGGCCCACGAGGCCGTGAGCGCGCGCGTCCGCCCGCCCGTCGACCAGAGTCGGCCCCGGCGGGCGCGCCCCCGCTGCGCCGTCCCTCCCCTGGCCCGCCGCGTCGCGAGGCGCGCGCCCGCCCGCCGCCTGCCGCGGATCGCGTGGTCGGCTCGGCTCGCCGCGCCTCTCCCCCGTCCGTCCATATTGCAGTAGCCCCCGAGCCGGGAAGCTCGGGCCGTCCCGGCGGCGGGGGGGAGGGAGGGACGGGACGAGAAGCCCGCCAGGCTCCGGGTGGGGTTGCCTTCCTAGAAACGGGCGGGGGGGGACGCGCGCCAAGGAGGCCTGGACCGCAGAGTGGGGGGCCTTCCTCCCCCCCCCGCCCCGCCAGCGGGCCTCGGATCTACAGCGGCTGCATCCGACCGGGAGGGAGGCCGCGCCTAGCGTGAACCCCGACCCTTAGCAGGGACTGGGTCCCAGCGCCGCGGAGGAAGGCGTCGCGGGCGCTCTGAGAGCCAAGTTCGAGGCGGGGGAGGCCGCCTCTGTCGCGCCCGGCTTCTCCGGGGGGGCGGGCGCGCAGATGGCCACTCAGGTGGAGCCGCTGCTGCCGGGAGGCGCCCCGCTCTTGCAGGCCGAAGAGCACGGGCTGATGAGGAAGAAGCCGCCGCCGCCTGAGGGCAAGGGCGAACCCGGGGCGAACGACATCGGAGGGGGGGAGCCGGACAGCAGTGGCCGCAGACTTCGGCCGCCTTGCGCCAAGCCACACAAGGAGGGTACCGGGCAGCTGGAGCGCGAGAGCCCGCGGCCTCCTCAGCCGCCCAGCGCCGAGGGCCTGGCCTTCAGCGACGGGGAGGAGGGCGGTGAGCCGGGCGCTGCCGGAGGAGTGGCCGCGGGCGCCGGGCGCCGGGACTTCGTGGAGGCCCCTCCGCCCAAGGTGAACCCGTGGACTAAGAACACGCTGCCGCCGGTCGTAGCCGCTGTGAACGGACAGTCCCCTCCAGGTGGGTCTCCCTGCTTGCTATCCTGGGTACCGGGGCCTCTCTTCCGGGGACGGAGACATCCCCTCCCCCAGCGGCCTCCAGGGCCCGGGGGTCCGCCGCTGATCGTGGTGACTCGGGAATTTTTTTAAATATTGCTTCTTGGCTAATTTGGGTCGGTGAACACTTCTCCCAGACACACTGGAGAACCTGCCCCTGCCGGGGGACCCGGCCTCCGGGAGGACCCAGCGGTTAGTGGGCAACGGCGTGGTCCGGGCCTACCCCGCCGGGAGCGGGTGGGCGCTGGTTTCGGTGCAAAGGGCCTTCGATCCCACCTCGTGTTGGCGTGAGAGACGCTTTCCAGCCTAAACCTTCCTCGGGAAGCCACCTCTTGCCCACTCTGCCCCACGATCCCCGTTTTGGTTAGCATTGCGATCGTCCCCATGTTGTAAATGTTTAATGAGCATATGTCATGGGCAGCAAAGCGCCGGCGATGAGTTCATACCGACCAGAAGGGTTCGGGATTTAAAAGTTAACAACTTTTGTTCTCGAGTAGATAATGCCAGGCGGTAGAATCGCCATTGGCGACGGATTGAGGGGTCGGTTACGGAGAGAATGGGAAGAGGAAACCCAACGTGTCATTGAATTCGGTGGTTTCCCTCTCCGATCCGGGGGACCTTCCGCTTTGAGAGGGGGCGGGATGGCGAGTGTGCGGGGAATCCGGTTAAGGGGTTGGCGGAAAATGTGAGGCGAGTGAGGGGTCTAGCGGCGGCTTGAGGGGCGTGCGGCGGCAGAGGGAGTGGCCGGGCTGGGCGGGCGGGTGACAGTTGGGCGCCATGCGCCGCCGGCCCGCGGGCTGCTCGCGGCCGCTCAGCCTGTGCGTTCGGTGCCCGCCGCCGCGCTGGGGGTGGAAGGCCGCTGCGGGCCGGCGGCGCGGTCGGGAGTGTGCGTGTGCGCGAGTGTGAGTGCGCGGCCCCCCTTCCCGGCATTCCTCCGCAGCCGGGACAACGTGGTGCCTCCCCGCGCGGGGAGCGGCATGTGACCCGCGGTCCCCGCGCTCTCCCTCGATTTTTTGGTCCTTTTGGGCCGGGTCTCAGGGGAGGTGGGGGTGCAGGAAATCCCAAAGGAGCTTTGTCAGCATGGGGAGGGAGGCCGTAGAGAATATGGAGGCTCATCTGGGCCTCCCTTTGCCGAGAATAGACCGTCGGCTGGGTTTGGAGCGCGCCCTCTCTCCCCCTTTGCCGGCGCGTAGGGGCATAAGGCGTCTGGATTCTTTGGTTTGGGGTCCTTTTGAAGTGGGCCAGTATCAAAACCCGATTGTAGTTAGAAGGGTGGCCTGTGGCCATAGCCCTAGTGCTTTTTCAAAACTCCTCCCCTTCTGCAGTCGCTGGTTGGGGCTGACTGGTTTAAACCATCAAAATGGGGAAAGTTGCAGAGGGAAGCTTAATTCCTTCACTTTCAAGGGAGTAGGATCACTCGTAGCCCTAGGAAAGCCAGAACAGCTAATTCTGAACATGGCGTGTTGCAATTTTTATTTCTTTTAAGGTTGCTTCATTTGGAGGAGGGGACATTTGGGGTTTACTAAAGTACCTCAAACCGGGTTCTCTTCCTTCTGTTCTGCCCTTCCCCCTTTTCCCTTCCAGAGCCCTCTTATGCAAAGGGCAGTGCTGAAACCTCCATTTTCTTGCATATCCCTCCTGATCCACCCACAGAGGGAGGGAAAGCAACTAAGACACTCTTTGGTCCTTCCCCCTCTTTAAACTCAAAGGGGTATAATCATCCCCAGGAGAGAGCACTCCTCAGAAGTTTAAATGGGGCTACTTACTCTGGCTGCTGCTGCTGCTTAGCCAATGGTGAACCTGCCTTGTGGGTTTTAAATCAGCCATGACATCAGGTGGTATTGGGTGCCTGAGCTGGTATTTTGTGCAAGTCCAGGGGCCCTTGATAGGGTGCGTCACTGGGGTTATTGATCGTGGGAAGAAGACAGCTTGGCTGACATCTCACCTTTTCTCTGAGCGGAGAAACCAGCTTGCTTGCCCAGAGCAAAATTCTGAGTCGGATAGATTTGTTCTGTTCTTGTTTTTGTTTTTGTTTTTTCCCCCTAGAATCTTAAGGCAAGAAAGTGTCTTGTCTACTCATTGATTTTGAAATTTTGGAGTAGTCTTAGACTAACTGAATTAATTCAGTGGCTTCCGTTTAATCTGTAGTTAGGGCTTGGATGCTTTTAGAGGGGAGAATTTCATGATTGACTTGTCTGTCTGGTAAGGTTAGATAGTCCTTTCTTTTAGTCGACATGGATCTCTAAGGCCCCTTTCCAGCCCTGATTTTATTTGCAGCTTGGACAGGTTTAAATGTGATACCAGTGCAGTGGTGGTCTTGGGAATTTTTGTGTTCTGTGATGCATATGTTTTTGGGAGTCTACAGAAATGAGTGCCTCATAAGCAAGCAAAAAGCTTTCCAAAGCTTAGTGCAAATGCCTATTTTTAGCTCTCCTTTTGGCTCAGATGCTAGTGTTTTAGTTCTTTAGGGGACACATGCAGTAACTAGTAATAAAAGATGTTTTTTGATATTCCCCTCTTGCTTGTGGGATTCTTTATTCTGGCTTAAGCCTCCACGTCTTACATTTGTAGTTTGGAATCTTGGGATTTGCATTTTCGCTTTTTTTATTTCCCTCCCTGAGAATATTTTGAAAATGTTTACTTTTTTTTTTCTTTTCCTAGCCACAACTCTTTTAGTATAAGGACATCTTAGTTAAAAGAAGAAATGATGGTTCTAGGGTCAAACCACATGGGTTCAAACGCCAGCTCTTACCACTTGCTAGCTAGCTGTGCCTCCTTGAGCAAGTTCCTTACCCGTTGTGTGCCTCAGCTTCCCCATTTGAATATAGGGATTAAATAATGGTTTATTTGCCTCTTGGGTCTGTTGTGAGCATTCGCCGTGATACGTGTAGAGCATTTAGCCCAGTGCCTGATGTATGGTAGCAGCTACACCATGTCTGGGACACTGAGACTGGGGGACTTTCCGAGACTCTTTCCTGGGTCTCTTGTTTTTTTCCCTGTAAAAGGAGGAGGTTGGAGAATGTAGTAATACTTTCCTTTTCTGATATTGTGTTGGTACTCCATGAAATATATGGGATCATCTTCCTAAAAGGGAATCTTGCTTATCTGCACACATAAAGAACATGGTATGGATAATCAATCTTAAATGTTGGTTACCCAAAGAATTGGCTATTTTTGCTTTAAAATGTGGCGTGATGACTGCTTTAAAAGTCAGTTTTAACTTGTTTATTTGCCTTTCGTTAAGTTTACCTGTTGAGGGAGTGCACACGTGCTCTCGGCTGTGGGAAAGGCCGGTCTGACTGAAGGGAAGGCTCACTGAGGTTGAGCGCACGTGCAGTGGGCTGAGCCTCTGAGAGTGTGTCGTTGCTGCCTGCTTCCACTCAGCCCCTGGTGGGGAGTCAGGGGCTTGGTCGTGTGGCAGCTCTGACTTACACTGACCAGTGCTGCAGTCTTCTTGATTTCTCTTTAAAGGAAAGTTGGGGGCAGGTTCTAAGACTTGAGTGTTTCTGTTCTGGGCATCACTTTTCTCTGTGTCCCTGGCAGTATAGCAGCTGATGGCACAAAATAAAAAAGGGTTATAATCTCAGTTAGCCCATGGCAACCCCAGGGATCCTCCACCCCACTGAACTGGCCTCAGATAAACTTCTACGTCCTTTCTCTACTTTCCTTCCTGGGGTTGGGCCCTTCCTCAGGTCCCCCCCACCCCATGGCACTAGGTGAGGCATCTGTGGAACTGGGCCTCAGTCTTCACACAGTGAAGACCTCACAGCCTCAGACCTACTTCAGCCTCCAGTTCTCCCTTCCCCACCACTACAAGTAGCCTGGAATGCAAGTAAGAGCTCTGCTCTGGAATCACGTAGTCTGCACTTTTGAGCCCCAGCTTTGCTGCTTTTGCTGCTGCTGCTTTTTCTGTATTATAATTGCCGTGTAATATTATGTCAGTTTCAGGTGTACAACATAATGATCGTATATTTGTATATATGTTCAGCTTTGTGTTTAATTTGCTGTGCAATCTTGGGTGAATTGCTCGGCCTCTCTGAGCTACTGTTACTCTCAAAATGAGAATGATAGTTATTATTTCAGAAGGTCATGAGAATTAGAGAAGATACTTATAAAGCCCTTCGCATAGTGCCAAGCACAGAGTATCTGTTGAGTGCTACCTATTTTATAATTACTCTTTTAAAATTGTTACAGTAAGTGATCACCATTATTAGGATCCGTTTGTTCCATTTCTGATTCTGCTCAGGACCAGCTTTGTGGAAACCACCAACCCCCATGCTTTCTCTGTTTCTTTTGTAAAATGACCGAATTGTGTTAGGTCTAGATGTCGTCAAAGTTTTTTGAGTGTCAAAAAAAACTAAAAAAAAAAACCAAAAAAAACACAAAAAAAACAACCCTCTCCCCACAAAAGAAAGAAACCAAAATAGAGTTCTTTTGTACATGTGTGTGTTTGTATCTGCTGTAGTGGGTAAAACTCCAATTTCGAATCCCAGCTCTGTGGGAGCTGGCTGGAGTGACTCCTGGCTTCAGGAACCTAGACCACGCACTTGATGGGGCATGTATCAGACACGGCGGAACAGCCAGGCAGTATGTGCCTTACAGCGCTGTAGCGGCAAGTGCACGACACTGTCTGAAAATTGCCCCCCACCAAGTAAAAACTGAACCCACACCTAATAGAACAATAGATCTGTGGGGAGAGAGGGACAAGCTGATTGTGAGGAAGCAGTTATCCTGTTCCTGAATGGGAGAAATTCTACAGCACAGATTCCTTTATCAGCCAGTAAATGGCATTTTTCAAAACGGAACGGTTACAGATGAAAAGAGTGCAGATATCAATCAGATGTACTGTGTGGATCTTGTTTGGGTCCTGTTTGAAGAGACTGGTTATAAGGAGACATTTTGGTGACAGTTGAGGAAATCTGATCATTTTAAGTTAATTAAAGAATGAATTGTCAGAGGCATATG